TAATGTGTTTTTTTAACCTTAAACCGCATAAACACATTTCATTACACCAAATACACCAAATAATGTTCTTTTTAGCAATATCATATGACCTCTTTAAGAAGATCCTGGGCCTCATATTACAGTTAATTGTAATGAACGTGTTCTCAAGAATGCAGTCTGGAACATGCTTTGTCTCATATCTCACTACAGTATTAATCATGAATCAGCCAACGGTCAGTTGCCTCATAACTTTAAGACTATTCTTTCAATGTAACAAATTTGCTTCTTACAGCAGTTTCACACACCAAACAAAAGTGTGAACATGTGAAGGTGAAAAAGAGACAATACAATACCTCTGAGCTCCTCTTGTCGAGCAGAGTTCTGGCTGACTGGAGTTCCTCCTGCGTATTCTGCAGACGCAGCTCCATGGCTCGAACCTCAGCCTCCCATTCACGCCGCTTGTGCCCCACCATGATGTCAATCTGCCGCATCAGCTCCTGTAATTCTGGCTCGCAGGATGACAGGACAGAGCTGAGGAGATGAACAGGAGGGAAAGTGTAACCCAAGAACTGCAAATAGTGGATGCTGTATGCATACTACAAATGTATAACACAAGTCACTTTTTTAATATGTGGATTGCTCAGAATTTGAATTCTACCATGTACCTGACATCATGATCACGGAGCGTGCTCAGAAATTCCTCCATTATTTCTCAGTGATCTTCCTTGTGCATCCTTATTACAAAAGATCTGGACGGCATGCCTGAGAAAAAATAAGAATTCATGAGCAGAGATGATGGGTGTATGCATTCTGATCTAGCGTTGTGTCTGCATAGGGGTTAGTTTCCAAGGGCAACTACAACTACAATTGCTACAAATACCATTGGCTTGCTCTGATAGAATTGAGTTGATATATCAAGTTGATCTCTGACATACTGAGACTTCAGGCTTTCGAGAATCTGGTATACCAGTATTTCATTGGTAAAATATGTTAACACAGAAATATAATTAACCGGTGGTGTTCCAATAATAACGAGGTATTACGTGCTGAGCTATTATTAGAAACTGAATATGTTATATAATTACGTTGATAAGTGACTTTTTGGTATTTTTACACACCCGGTCTTATTACTAATAAATCACTACTTGGCTAACATTAGCCTGTTAGCGTGGAGAAATAGTAACTTACGCGCATTTACTTTACCGTGATTCCAAAGAAAGTGGACGTACTCTACGACCTTTCAACTCTAGATAGATCTTGTGTTAAAGTTTATTTTCTGAAAATACAAATCTCACTTACAATTTCTGGGACACTTGACATCGTGTTTGTCAGCTGGGGTTGTAGGGGTGACAGAAACGCAACAGTTGAACGCGCACAACAACCAAGAACATCACAACACAAGAGAACAGAACAGCCACTCTGCCTGCGCTTCCGCAGTGTCACGTGGTTCACAATACGGCTTCTCATTGGACATGTTTGTACAGTATCAAAGTCCCTTTTCTGTAGTCTTCAATATCCCGTAGTCTTTGACAGTATTCAACATACCCGGATTAGTTTGCTTATAATTTGGGATAGTGTGGTGCATTTAAATGCTCTATTAATTTAAAACGTATTGAATATAACAGACAGTATTTAGTTGTCACAAAAGCAATAAATATTTTTATTAGTTGTATGTGTTTTTACGCACTTTCATGAGCCATTTGCTTACAACGAACACGATTTACTGAACAGATTAAAGCACGGACGTATGTGGTATTTATACATTTGGTTTTAAAGATTATTTTACACAAAGGTGTACATAACATAACTGATCTTTCTGCTTACAGTGATGGCCTGACGTGCACAGGAACAGCAGTCCGCGAAGGACTGTGGGTAATTTATTTGACCATGAGGTGTTGACATTTTATGATGGATCAACAGAGTCAGCTTTAGTAGCGAATGCCAGAGCTTCAAAATATTAGTTCACAAACCAGTGAATATTGCATACGGATACCAAGGTGATTAGGTTACAGCAAAAAGATAATACACGTCAGCTTTAATAATACAAGAGTGTTTACAAATACACGTGTTTTTGGTTACGTTAAGTAGTTAGCTAAGTAGTTATGGATACAACGTATGCGGATTTTACTGTAATTTACATATGTAGGCAATTGCCATTATGTAACTAATTAAAAAAGGTATTTTTAAGTTTGTCGTGTAACTTACATTCTGAACTGAATTCAGTGTGGAGAATGCGCAACAATTGCAATGCAGTCTTGCAGTATTGAATAAGGCTCATAAGAGGCGTTAATTGTTGATTTGTTGTGGCTCAGTAGAGTAAATTTCATACGCATAGATATAAGTTAGGGTAAGTAACATAGCAATAAAATTCACGGTAAAACAGTAAGCGATGGTGACTATTTAGGTTTGTATAGTCTCAGGTCATACTTTATATTGCACGCGGCTCGTTGGTCTAGGGGTATGATTCTCGCTTCGGGTGCGAGAGGTCCCGGGTTCAAATCCCGGACGAGCCCATTGTTTTCTTTGTACTTTTTTTTATGGTCTGTTTACTTAGAGTAATCAAATAGCATATATACCATAGCGGGGTTTCCTGTGAAAATGACTGAGTGTTTAGGAAAATTAGAAGGTACGTAACGTTATGTACTTACGTAGTAACAACGCCACTGACACTGCGTGTAGATTCCTATGCAGAGTACTAACAATATTTGCGTCTAATGTCAACGAATAATTTAGTTAATAAGACTAACTTAGACACATAATTATAATTAAAATACGCATATACGTGCGAAAAAGCCGTTGACAATATTTCAGAATACTTTAGTTACCATGAACACTAACGATGTTTTAGGCGGCTCGTTGGTCTAGGGGTATGATTCTCGCTTTGGGTGCGAGAGGTCACGGGTTCAAATCGCGGACGAGCCCAAGTAATTTCAATTTAGTCGTTTATGTGAGAAAATATATTAACAGTTCTTGATTATTATACTGGAAAGTATATATATATACTAGCATATTAGCAAAATCCAGAAGACTATTTGGTGGATTCATATTGAATGTAATTGTATCACAAAATTTAAACATAGCATGTTATGTGACCCTGGACCACAAAACCAGTCACAAGGGTCTGCTGAATAAATAAGCTTTCCATTGATATATGGTTTGTTAGTATAGGACAATATTTGCCTGAGATACAACTATTTGAAAATCTGGAATCTGAGGGTGCAAAAAAATCAAAATATTGTTTGACAAAATATTGTCAATATGAAGTTCTTAGCAATGCATTTTACTAATCAAAAATTAAGTTTTGATATATTTGCGGTATAGGAAATTTACAAAATATGTTCATGGAACATGATCTTTACTTAATATCCTAATGATTTTTGGCATAAAAGAAAAATCGATCATTTTGACCCATACATATTGTTGACTATTGCTACAAATATACCTACCTGTGCTACTTATGACTGGTTTTGTGGTCCAGGGTCACATTTGATCAGTTTACAGATGTTATAATTATTACATCATCTGATTTTATTGATTGCATTTCATTATGTGCTACAGAAGACAGTTCTTTCTCCCTCTGGGTTTTTTCCTTCAGTCTTAGCAAGTTTTTCCTTGACATTTCCTTTAAACATGGCATTTCTGATCTCTCAGGAAATCTTAATGATTCTCAGCAATGACATGAGGTACACTGATTTCTGAATAACTAGTGAGCTTTGCTTTGTGTGGCAATGAGGGAGGAGAAAGACACGTATCACCTCCCCCACAACTCCACAGCTACTTTAAAACTCGCGGCGGTTATTCACACTGACAGCAGCAGAGCCAGTTTGCTCTCATTCACATACCCATAATGCTCAGTCAGATGAGTTCATCTCTTGACAAAGCTCTGTAGCAGTGGATTACGAGTCATTCTTCTGTAAGTATATTTCTTGATTTCTTTCATTCAAAACTGAGGTTGATTTACATTCGTTTTTGTTTATTCAGTTACACAGCAAACAATCTTAAAGGGTTAGTTCACCCAAAAATGAAAGTTCTGTCATTAATTACTCCCATGTCGTTCCAAACCCGTAAGACCTCCGTTCATCTTCGGAACACAAATTAAGTTATTTTTGATGCATTCTGACAGCTCTCTGACCCTCCCAGAGACAGCAAGGGTAATGTTACTACCACGATCAACGTCCAGAAACTGTAGCAAGTAGATCGGTAAAATAATCCATGTGACATCAGGGGTTCAACTGTAATATTACTGTCTCTGGGAGGGTCAGAAAGCTGTTAGATTTCATCAAAAATATCTTAATTTGTGTTCCGAAGATGAACGGAGGTCTTGCAGGTTTGGAACAACATGAGCGCGAGTAATTAATGACAGAATTTTCATTTTTGGGTGAACTATCCCTTTAATTTCTTAAGTACTTTGGCGCTGTCCAGTAAGGTATACAATCATAATTAAAACCAAATAAATTCACTTTAGAAACAACACTGCATAAGATATTGACATAATTTGAACAATGCTGAAAACTATTCTAATAAACCTTGAGTTTATTTCTTATCAAAAGTTTAGTGAGCTTTAAGCTTAAAAATGAGCTTAATTCAGGATGTATTCCCTGAAAAACCATATATTTTATGCAGTGTTGCTTTTATTTTGTTTAATGGTGTTTAGATGTTTTCACTGGGGAATTGCAGTTGCAGTGTGCTGTTTATATGATAAAGAAAGAACACACTGTTCAAATGGTTTGACACAAGTCAAGTTACAGTTTGACTAAGGATGTCCTCATATAATCTTTTACCTGACCATCACTAACAAAACAACAAAACCAACTAAACATATAACATTATGAAAAAGTATGCTTTGTTCTGGAATATTGTATATTGTATTGGTGAATTGAATTAGTAGATGTTCTCATGGTTGCAGAAACCAGAGATCTTGTCATTCTTTGCAGTATTGTTTTGTCTGCATTAGTACTCAGAAAGGGGTCAGAGGTCAACACTCAGAGGTCAAACTAAATTAATATTGTATTCTGGACTAACAGGTGGTCTGCAGCATTAGAGTAGAATACTATAAGGATGAATGGTCGGTGGGGGTCGATCTGGCGATCTGCCATCTGCTTCAAGATTTTAACTTGCTTTTCTGTGCTTAAAGGGATTAGTTCACACAAATCTGAAACTTCGGAACACAAATTAAGTTATTTTTGATGCATTCTGACAGCTCTCTGACCCTCCCAGAGACAGCAAGGGTAATGTTACTACCACGATCAACGTCCAGAAACTGTAGCAAGTAGATCGGTAAAATAATCCATGTGACATCAGGGGTTCAACTGTAATATTACTGTCTCTGGGAGGGTCAGAAAGCTGTTAGATTTCATCAAAAATATCTTAATTTGTGTTCCGAAGATGAACGGAGGTCTTGCAGGTTTGGAACAACATGAGCGCGAGTAATTAATGACAGAATTTTCATTTTTGGGTGAACTATCCCTTTAATTTCTTAAGTACTTTGGCGCTGTCCAGTAAGGTATACAATCATAATTAAAACCAAATAAATTCACTTTAGAAACAACACTGCATAAGATATTGACATAATTTGAACAATGCTGAAAACTATTCTAATAAACCTTGAGTTTATTTCTTATCAAAAGTTTAGTGAGCTTTAAGCTTAAAAATGAGCTTAATTCAGGATGTATTCCCTGAAAAACCATATATTTTATGCAGTGTTGCTTTTATTTTGTTTAATGGTGTTTAGATGTTTTCACTGGGGAATTGCAGTTGCAGTGTGCTGTTTATATGATAAAGAAAGAACACACTGTTCAAATGGTTTGACACAAGTCAAGTTACAGTTTGACTAAGGATGTCCTCATATAATCTTTTACCTGACCATCACTAACAAAACAACAAAACCAACTAAACATATAACATTATGAAAAAGTATGCTTTGTTCTGGAATATTGTATATTGTATTGGTGAATTGAATTAGTAGATGTTCTCATGGTTGCAGAAACCAGAGATCTTGTCATTCTTTGCAGTATTGTTTTGTCTGCATTAGTACTCAGAAAGGGGTCAGAGGTCAACACTCAGAGGTCAAACTAAATTAATATTGTATTCTGGACTAACAGGTGGTCTGCAGCATTAGAGTAGAATACTATAAGGATGAATGGTCGGTGGGGGTCGATCTGGCGATCTGCCATCTGCTTCAAGATTTTAACTTGCTTTTCTGTGCTTAAAGGGATTAGTTCACACAAATCTGAAAGTTCTGTCATCATGCCATTCCGCTTTCTAATAAAAAAACATAATAAAATAACAAACAACATTGGAATATGAATGGAGTAAGTTTGAAAGTTGCATATTTTTTCTTGTTTTTGCAGATTACGCTAAACAATTTCCAGAAGACAAAACTACAGCAACATCAGATCAAACATCGGTTCCAGTTTTCAGCCATGGTTCTGTTCGAG